GGCTGATGAAAATTCTTCTGTCCAGATTCTCTTCTGCTGTAAAATCTACAAAAAGCCAGGCAATCTACATTAAGGAACCACCAAAAAATCGGAAAACTAAACCAGGAAGTTGTAAAAGAGCAATTTATTATGTACGTGATTGTTAAAAGCAAAAATCTGTTATATACGTGATGGTTCCTAACACCTTATACGTCAGCTTTTGTACTGACACTACATCTGTAGCCAATACCTGCTATTGCAATAGAAACATTTAACAATAAGTGATGCCTCATCACTGGCAAACATGATGTCTGCGTTTCAAACATTTGCCAATAACTGACCTGGTTTATGTTTTAAAATTCACAGCAGAGTTCACAAAACGTATTCTATGCTAGGAAAGGCATACCAATTATATAGGGTTATTTAGGAGAAACTGGCACTGTTTAATGAAATAAAACATGACCTTTTGGAGATACTGCACTCGGTGGTACCTTTCAGAGATATTTCATTCAATTTCAGTAATTGAAAGTTGAGGTAACTTTAGTGATTTGGGGTGAACTTTTACAATGATGAAAAATGATAATACAGCCTATGACACAATGGGAATAGTGCAAATAATTAACAGGCAATGAAGCATTTCAGACCACCACTAAGTCTGCCAAGGGAAGGGAAGGAAGATGTATTAAAGTCTCATGCAATGTTAGTCAGTAATAAAAATCTGTTTATTATTCTCCTTTCAGCTTAGAGGCTAAGCTTTTTGTTAGTGCTCAGTATTCAGAGTTATGAGATAAATAATTCATCTATTCTTTAAAATAACATTTTTCTTAGAAGAACGGAGCTCAGCAACTGTCCTTCTTCCTTCCCCTCAGAAATCCTAAACCCACACAACTGGACTTTATTCCTCATCCAAAATAAGAGCACAGAGCATCAAGCAGAAATCAGCCTAAGCCAAAACAAAAACATCATAGAACTCAGGAGGCAAAAAGATGAAATAGAAAAGAATAAATCCTGATACAAGCTTTCCACAGATGCTGGAAAAACGTCCTTAGGCCTTCCTAAGCGATGGCCAGCTAACCTGCTTTTAGGTTGCTCAAGGAATAAAATAATTCTTTCATGCTTCTTCCAAGCAAGGCAAAATAATAGTTCTAGCCAGCAAGAAAATCAGTTATGAAGAGACTGCTAGCATAAAAATTAGATAGCCTTAGGCAGATATCTAGTGAAGGTATGATTTAGAAGGCAGACAGCAAAAGTAATTTCACTGATGAGTGGGTACAGGTCAGCGAGCTGATTCTGCCATCCAAAGATAAGAGGCCATTTTTGAGAATTCAATTAAAAACACACAGGTTGGCAAATTGCGAGCATTAAAACAAATGTACAAAATTGTTCAGTGTTTGGAAGTAGCCTTTTAGAAAAAATGATTGTAAGTTTTCAATCTTACATGAGCATTCAGAATCTGTGAATAACGCATGAGGCTTTTACCTGTAAACTACTGGGCAAATTCATTCATGGTCTGGTCATAATCACAGGGCAACATACCTGTCCATGAAGTTTCCTGCTGGCCTGTTTCACTCCTCCTAATTAGCACTTAGCTTCGGTCCCTGCTCTGCCAACCTGTTACATGTAGAGGGATCAGAAAGCTGATCAGATGGAATGGGGCTGACTCAGCAGTATGGGGGTTATATCAGTAGCATCTTAAATGGACAGAAAATGATGAAGAGAAAAAAAGCATTAGGGAGAAAAGACATAAAAGGGAAACCAAAAGGAACGTGGGAAATAGGCTACGGGGCAGAGAGGAAGCATGGAAAGGAAACAGAGGAAAGGAAAAGAGTACAAAGGAAAGAAGAGAAACAATAGTAAGAAAACATTGTCTTATATTTGTCTCTCACCATGGAGTTGTTAGAGGATGGTAGGTATGACAGGGGATGTGCAGGGGGCACTATGATGCACACATCACATCAAATCACCTACAAAACGTTCTTAGGTTATAAACTAGGCAATCACTTCCACTAAACACACTCTTCTCATGATCTGTGAAAGCATTTAGCCTCTGGAAAACGGGGAAGAAAGGAGGTCTTAGTCATTGACCTTTTACAAAGTTAAAGTACTTGCATGCCCTGAGTAACATCTCAATAAATAACAATTCAGGTAATTGGTGAATTAGTTAGGAATAATCATGCACAGTTAACATGATCTCGCAAAATAAACTAACCTGCACAGGCAGAATACAATCTTCTTACTTCTTAACGACGTGTCTACCATCACCAGTCACAGTGCAAAACAATTTATGTTTCAGTACAAGGAGCTTACAACTCATATTATGAGTTTAAATGGAGATGCAAAGACCCTGTTACACCTAGCTGAAACACTAAATTTAGTAGCAAAACTTTTCACAGATCCTTTTTCATCAAAACATCCTGATTTCTCCAAATTGAACTAACTCTCACGCACTATTATGCTGAAGGTCTTGATATCTGAGACAAAAGTGAGAAAAAACAGAGCTTTCAGAGGCTGCGACTGCAAGCACCATTCCTATTCACAAATAATTTCAGGCATGCTGATTTTCATTACAAGTCATTCTTAAACCAAACTTCAAAGTAGCAACATCTTCTTTCTCCGCCCTTCTTTACTGTCAGTATCACTGCTGCCTACAGTTAGTGAGGACTGTATTCAGACACCCAGGTCCAGATGCCTGTATCCAAGATCACAGATCAAGAGAATAACATCTTTGAATAGACTAAAAACACTTTCACCAGACTGAACTAATAATCTCAATTTTCATTATAATAAATAGTTAGTTAACTTAGGTATTCTGCTTTAACTACCAAACTTATGGAAAGTGTTTTTCCCCTATCTCAAATTTTCCTTTCTGTAAATGGTCCCATCCCATTCAACCTCCTCTGCTGCCACTTTATCCTTCTTCATGACCTTGCTTAAATTCTTCTCCACCTCTGCTTCCCTCTTTCTCAAAACGCACACAAGACTTTACGAGCTCCCACAAGAAATTCCTTAAATTTCCCTGCTTCTCCAGAGGTCAACATCATGTCTGTCTCTTTTTCTACAAGATCAAATATGTCAATAAAAATGGTTACTGAAATTGTTTTCTTCTGGATATGCCATGGATGTTTTGCCATCTGGCTTACTGTGCTTTCACTTGAGACAAACTAGTTTTATCAAGGTTTCTAAGTCTCACCACGACCAAAACTCAGCTGTCTACCCCACCCAGCAATAAGCATCTTTCTCTACGAAAGCTACTTAATAACATCACAGATATCACTGCAGCTCCAAGGTGAAAAGAAAAATTATTTCAGTTAGTATTCTCAAGGGATCATTAGCGCATTGTTATACTCTGTTGCCCTTGTATTGTTGCCAATTATTCTATGCTCTCTGTAATGCTTAAAATAAGAAAGCAATGTCATCTATATTCCTTCACTTTTTTCAGTTAAACAGGCCTATTATTTCCCAATTAATAGGTCTATAATCATTTCTTTTCACTAAATATTTTATCTATATTTTCTCAAGTCCAAAAAACATTGAGAAAACTGCACACTGCTTAATCTAAGGAAAAATCAGTTTAACCACAGGTACAACGAACTTACATATGAAAAACCCAGAAATAATACTGAATTGTGAACAATAAATTAGACTAAACAAATACAATCCATATTTTAAAGAGAAACACTTATATAAATATTTATGCATCAAGAGGTAGTTTTATTGAGTCATAAATCTCCCAGTATGCTAAATCAAGGAACACAAATTCTAGAACGCAAGACGTTATCAGATATTAATTTCCTGCAACAATAACAAAGATCAGAGACACATTTAGGCAATTTCATTTCAAGTGGAAAAGGTAATTTCAAATTTAATTGTAGTAAATCTGAATAGCATAACCTCTTATATTCAGAAAAGCAGTCCTGGGAAACTTTTACAGCCACTTTAGATTTTAACAACATTCTGTGATAACACCAGGACTTCCTACAAAAACATGAATTTTCTTCACCTTAGTATTTCACTTTAATTTTTAAATAGCTATATATTAAAGTAATAATAAAATATGTTTTATAACTAACTGATAATTTATTTCATGGTTAGCTGATGCAGAAGTAACAATGAAGAATAAGGTTAATCTTATTTCCAGATGGCAGTGTCATCATCACCCTTGCTAAGATCTACAATAGAGAAAGTAGACCAGGAGAACCCATATCAAACTAAATACAAATGATTTTAACGAGCAGCTGCCCGGGTAGAAGTTTTAGTCCCCTTTAAAATAATCAAAAAATGATTCCTTGCTTTACAAGGTAAGCACAAACGTCAACATGGATGATGTTTCAGTAATAAGGTGTAAGTACATAGATTGTATTTGCTGTATCAGAGTCAGCAGTAGTATTAGCAGATTGGACGAGGCCATGTTACTGCTTTACCTTTTATAAAGCCACTCTTCCTGCTTGAGAACCTTCTATTTATACCCTTTTTTGGTTACTACGAAGTCTGCCTGCAATTCTTCTGGTGATTTTCCCCATCCCATCCCAGTCACATATGTTTATATTGCTAAGCAGGTTTCAAAGACATATCATGCTTTAATTTCACTAAAAATAGTATGCAACACACAAATTTTACTAAAATTTTAGTGTATGAAACATCCCGGAGGAAGAAAAATAACTTCAGGGCTCAGATCAGTGGCTGAAAGAGCTATGGAATTCAAGCAATCACAAAAAGTCCTTCCTAATTTAGTAGCACATTATTTTACACAAGTGGAAAAAGCCCATCAGTTGATTCTTGGAAAATACTATCTTGGATCAATCTAAAGTCATACATGCTACAACTTAGATTGCAACTAGCTGAATTTAAGCAGTTTGCAGAAACAGAAAAATCAGAATCAATTTTGAAAAGTAATCTTGACTGAAACAAAGATTAGGCCCTAGATGAAGGGGGGAGAGGGAGGGGGGAAAGGGGGGGGATCTCATTAAAAAAAAGAAAGAAAGAAAGAAAGAAAGAAAAAAAGAAATTCTTATATTACTTACTCCTGTAGGCTGAAAAATCAGTCCATCCACTTCATGGCTGACTTCTCTAGCAAAGTTTCCTTCAAGGAGCTGTAGAACAAAAGGAAAATACAACTTTTTGGCATAGAAAAATATTTCCCTTAGAAGATTCCACACTGAAGCAGATTCTAAACCGCTCCTGTAATTGCTCTCTAGTAAACAGCTGCAGTTAAGATTTACTGTTACAGCTTGGGAAATGTCAACATAGAAAGCCTCAACTAGCAGCTTGAGGCTCAGACAAGTTTCAGGGAGGCTACCGAATACAGCATCACTTTGAGAAAAAGCCTTTGTCCAAAACGAACTGCGGAGAGCATTCCACCTAGCAGAAGAGAGAAACAGATGATGAAAAAGCAGTTCTGAGATGGGACAACACAGTCATTCGTGGCCAAATTAAAAAAAAAAAAAAAAAGCCAGTTCAAAAAACATGTAGCACTTATTTTTGCTTGAAAATATGTATTGAAATATTTCTAAGAGCATCATTCAAAATTCCAGTTTGGCAGATTCCTTTACTGCGGTGTATCCCAGTAACGCTGCTACACTAGTGCTAAACAACCATCCGAATTAATTCGGGTCGCAGACATTCTGTTCCACATTTTGAAAGACTGAATCCCACGGAAGTGAGCAACAAATTGTTTTTACCTCAGAAACATATCTAACTAAACAAACTAATTAAACTAACCAGTCCACAGTTATGGGAACTGATGATATATTTCCGTGTTTAATTTTGATGTGCCTAAGGAGAAGCAAAGAATTAGTGAGGATCACTATTTTCATAAGCAATAAGAAAATTAAGAGTAATTACCGGGATGTCTCTTTACTAATTTCAATTTATGTTTTACTGTAGAAATGAAGAATCTGTCCTAAAGTTGCAGGTGCATTTAATAATGCTTGGAAAACTTTAACAAATTAACGTGTGGTCATACAATACATCAAATACAGAATTCATTAAATCATGCTCACTTTTAAAAGCAACACTTTGACCTAGACCATGGTAAATTTTGCACCATTCCAGCAGCACAGTCCAATTTACCTGAATGAACTACCGATTTCAATTTAAGCAAACTCCACCTTCAGTAAGGGATTAATTTTAAAAGCATGAAAGGGGTTGAGGATTAACATTTCTATCCTAGTATATGCTGCATGACTCAAAGTAGTGCAGTTCAACATCTAATAAATCAAAAAGCTTTATGATCAAATATTTTAAAATAATAATACATTCTATCATATTTTATCCAAAATCTGTAGATACTTGCACATAATAATTCATCACTTTGCTATAAAATAACTAACTTTTCTTACATAGATGCTGATTAGAATATTTCTGTTTATTCTGTATAGTTACAGCTTTCATTATCCAATTTTTAGATACAATGTAATTGAAAACCACATTTTATGGGAGTATGCCTAAGTGGTAAAATACTTACGGATAGATGCTAAGCCAAAAATAATCCAGTGAAAGACTATTTTTCAGCATACACAGCCCTAGTTCAGAATTTGAAGTTCTAGCATGTATTTACCTAATTATCATCTTGAAATTTACAACTGAGGCTCACAAACAGGCGATCTTAAGAAAAAAAAAAAAATCTGATCTTCAGAATTGTACGATTACATAGGAAACCCAAGTATGTAGAAAAATAAACCATTCTAGATTTAATGCATTTTGTATGAGACGATTATAAAAAATCCACCCCCCATTGTTAATCTTTGCTTCAGCAGAACAGCGAGTACATTGGAAATCTTTTAAACAAATACTCCAAGAAATTTTTTTTTAAATCATCTAAATAAGTCAAGTCTTCTGGGGATCACTTTCAAGATTGCTGTGTTGAGAAATATTTCCAAAATTTACAGGCCAGTGAGAAATCTGTAAGAACACACTTGATGCTTACAAAAGCATACGGGAAATATTTTTTGAATTCAAGTACCAAAAAAATTCCCTTCAAATACAAAGATACGTTCAAAATAAAATACAAACTTCAAATTAGCTGAGACCATACTTCTTATATATACATTTCTACCTATATTGTTAAAAGGTACTAATCAAACTGACAAATAAAAATCAATCTCACTTTTACTTTAGCTGAAGTCCTTAAAGGGATTTTAATTTGAGGACAGTGTTACTTCAGTATTGGAGATTAAATAAAGCGTATTATTTAGTCCTCCCCAAAATAAAACTTAAGAATATAGGAACTATCTTTTAATTCAGAGTGCTCGACTCTTTCAGATAAAACATAAAATCATTATTGCTCGCTGTTTTACCTGTAGCTCTCTGTACTCTGATCTAAATGTAGCTTTAGAAAACTAAAGTATTATTAGAAGTTTAAAAATGGGAGGAAAATAATAAAACAAAAAAAAGAAAAATTTACCATTTATAAAAGTATACTCTGGTATTCCCTTTTATTCACGTAATTTATAAAAGCACTACTCTCCCAGAATGACAAAACGCAAGGGACTCCCTCTTATCACGCTGACTTCCAGCTTCAGATTTGTTAGGGACTTGAACTCATTCTCCTCATTTGGGAGGCACGTGGTATTCTTACTAAGATATCTTCTCTCAAGTGTCCATTAGATATTGAAGATAAAAAAGATATTAGAAATTAGCATAAGTCTCAACAGATAACTAAAACTTCTTCGTGCTCCTAGCTACTCCACTTTCAGTCTCCTTACATCAACTACAAGTAATTCAGTGACACTATTCTGCAATAAAATTTTTCTACTAGAAAGGATCAGCAATTTTGTTTTGAGGGCAGGCAAAAAAATAAAAGCTTCTTTCTATATACTTTTTCTTGAGATTTTAACTATTTAGACAATATCTGCGAACAACAGAATATAAACCTATTTGACAATCTGGAAAGTCTGAAAAGAGTAGAATGAACAGGAACAGGTACTCGACTTCTAAGTAAAAATATTTTTGACACTAAAAAATATAGTCGACATCAGGTTTCTAGTTTCACTAATTTCTATACGCAGATATACATGCTTCATCTTTTAAAAAACCTATCTTCCTGTTTAATTTACCACACATGCTAACATTTCTAATTAACTTGAACAGTATAATCTTTTTAATAGGCACCATGATAAATGGCACACCTGCTTGACTGGGACCACTGCCAGGGACCAGATAAAATGCAACGCATCTCAATGACGTTTTATAAAAGATGGCTAAATGATGCATGCAAGCCAATTCTTCTGGCGTGCTGTTCCTTGTAGCCTACTGGTATGTATTTCCACCCGCAAAATCCTTCGTTCACGTCTTACAGCTTCCTGCTTTATTGTGAACGTTGCAGGGAACCATGTATTCACATTACAGCTTATTAATCAAATTTTGTTTTCATTATTACTTTAAAATTAAATCAAACTGAAAATAATTGCTACACCTAACAAGAACGTTCCTCTGATGAAAAGAGTGGTAGAAGCACACGAAATGACTGGAGCCGGGTGGCAAGTAAAAGCATTTCTCCTTACTGTTGAACCGCTGTGATTAGGCGCAGCAGTATGACACCAAAAGCAGTACTAACAGCCTGAATCACTGAAGCTGATTTTGCTCAAACTCTGAATCAGTCAGCAGAATTTCTCGAGTGGATAAGTGAACAATCACACTTTAGAGATCTCTCTGTACTTTAGAGTAACAAAATCACTTGGCTCCTCCAGCAGGAAGAGGAGGAAATTTCCATGCATACAGATTCCACATAATCCTAGTCATTTTTAATTAATTTTTCCTGTAATTCCAAGGCAACTCACACAATTCTTATGAGCTTTCAGATGTCATTTTATTCATAAAATAAGCAAGTCTTGGAGGTACTACTGCGTCTGCCTTTTCCTTTTAAAAATCATCTCACGGAAATACAGATTACTGTGAGTTATGCAAAACATAAAACATCTACTAATGTCCTTCTGCTAAGTCATATTGACTTTCTACACAAAAAATTTGTCTAGGGTCACTGCACACAATTATTACTTGGAGATACAGAAAAAAATCACTTTGTAATACAAGACAAATACATACCTGGTTTTCTTGCTTCTTCAATTTCAGAACTGCTATAGGCTTTATTCAGTTTTAAGCCAAGCTACAGCAATTCTGCATGCATCAGCCCTCATGTGGTTTTTCAGTTATCTCCAAGTTACTAATCACCTATTTCTTCACTCCACAGTGAAACTTGTGAAAAGGAACATGCTTTCTTGAAAAGTAATAGATACAAATAAATGAACAGTTGAATTAACTGTCCCTTGACTAGAATTTGAAAGACCTTCAGACAGGCACATACTGTTATTCCTGATTTCATATAGACAACAGCTTAAGTTTCAGCTCAACTTCAAGGCCACTAATTTTATCTAACGATAAAAGTCTTCAACATGACACCACAGACTAATCCTCACATCTTGAGAACGGTCAGCTTTTACAGACGTGGTTCCATAAATGGTATAATCTCTGTACAGATATTGTAGCTTTTTTTCAAACGCATTGTACAGTTTTCAGAAAAAGATTTAGAAGTTACCAGCACTAATTACCACCTTATTTAAAAGGAAATGATTATTCAGTCTCTTTCCTTGCCCTTCTCTAAAAGAGATGGCATATTCCTTTTTGAAAATAGGATATTACTTCTGGTTTATTTTTGCATTAATTTTCTTGGTCTTGCTTGCCAGTTTTTATATTTCTCTAATTTCTTCTGTCTCTTTTTACATGACAGCCTCCTCAATCTCTCTCTCTCACCTCAGTATACCCTGTTCCATGATGCCTCAATTTTACAAGTTTAATATAAAAATTATTTACTCTGACACTGGTGCTGAAGTGTTTAAGAGGTCCCAGAACAAGCATTACTTCCAAAATGGGAGGCACAGATTTTTTAAAATGTATGGTGGTTAATAGCATTCAACCAAACTGAGGAATATATTCAAATGAATTTAATGTATGTCTGCTACTAAGAGAGTTAGTTAATGCATGTCTGCTAAGTCATAAGATCAAAAATAAATTTTCACCTCTATTATTGCATGCAGGAGTTTTTGAAGAAACAATCTCTGAACCACATAAACAGTTGAAAAACTGTGTAACAAAA